AAGCGCAAGGACCTGCGTTCGATCCCCGGTACCAAAAAATAAATAAGTAAGTAAGTAAATAAATAAATAAATAAATGGATAAAGAAAATGTATTTATACAGAGTGGAGTACTACTCTACTATAAAGAAGGATAAATCTGATGTAGGAAATGGGATGCACCTTAAGACTATAATGTTAAGTGAAAGAAATTAGACACATAAGCTTAAATATTGCATGGTTTCTCTTATATGAGAAACCCAAAGTATAAATAAAATAAAGAGCAAAATAAAAGACAGATAATAGGAAACAGAGAGACAGATGTTTTGTAAATGGGCAGGGGACTAAGAGATGGAGGAAGAAGGAAGGGAGAGGAGGAGAAGGGGCAGTAAAATGAATTCAGAAGTGTTACAGACATGTAACAACTCCCCACAATAAATGTAATCATTTACTGCAAACATATACTATAAAAATAAAAATAAAATTTAGGCTGGGCATGCGGTCCCACAGGTGTAATCCCAGCACTTGGGAGGCTGAGGCAGGAAGATTACTGCAAGTTCAAGGCCAGCCTAGGCTACATAGTGGGTTCAAGGTCAGCCTGAACTCTACAGCAAATATATAGATGATAGATAGTTTAAAACAAAACAAAACAAAACAAAACATACACATGCAAGCTACTCCAGAACTAAGCTAGGGATGTAGCTCAATGTGAAGTAGCTCTGGGTTCCATCTCCGGTGCCACAAAATAAAAGCAAAGAAGGGCTAGTGGATGTAGCTCAGTGGTACAGTGCCCCTGTGTTCAATCTCCAGCACCACCAAAAAACAGAAACAAAAACACCTCTCTGTTTAAAGTGCCCATAATGAGTAGCAACTCACTGACCCAACTTTGAAGACTAAGGTTGGACAGCTGCAGCTGAGCTCTGTGACCCTGGTACCCCAAGAGCTGAAACACCACCTCAGAGCCATGAAGCAGGTTCGCAGCACCACTGTCTTCGTGCCATGATGAGAGAGTTTGAACTGTATAAGTTTCAGCCCACTTTCCTGATGAAGCCTTGTGTCAATGCCAAGAGCAGCCAGGACATTTCCTTGACTGCATTTATGATCTGAAACTATACAGACTGAGAGAGAACTTGGATCTACAACT